AGGCACAGCGATTTTTTTATAACCATTTATTTTCACTTGTGATAAGTCATCTGCAACACAAAAAAAAGTAAAATGAAAACATCCAATCGAAAAATAAATATATATTACGTCTAGGCAAATAATCATCTTCTTTAAAATACCAATTTTCAACTTTTGTAACCATGCATTTCTTGCATCCACAAATTCAGAATTTCCACTTGCATTTTATAAAAATAATCCTACATTTACCAGATTTAGGAAGCAGATGAAATGTAAGAGAAGGGTAAGTTTTTTTTTAGAGCTGCATTGATTATTACGTCGCACCGCGAATCGACGTGTGAGCAAAATCTTAGATTTTAGGTAGATTTCGGTTTGTTTTTCGTTGTTTTTCTTTTTGTAATATGAAAGAACTATGCATTGTGCCTGTGAACAATAATAATGTCTTAAATTTTGTATCTGTATTGTGTGCTCTTTATTGAAAAAAGGTTTTTCAAGTAGAAATTTTGAAGAGAAAACGGACATTTTTACTTCTAATAGATTAAAGGACCCTATCAATTTAGAGACGAAAGTAGAAAAATCAGCAAAGAAATTTACCAGGGATTTTCACGTAGGGTTCTATGAAAAGTATGAATGGTTAACCGGCTGCAAAACTTTGAAGAAATTGTTTTGCTGGCCTTGCCTACTTTTTAGTATAGTCGAAAGAACACATTGGAACTTAGTCGGTATTACAGACTTGAATAATTTACACAAAAGTGTAAAACGACATGTAAATATCAAATCTCATATAAGTGCTACAATTAAAAAAAAAAAAATTCGGGACCTATCGCATTGAACATAGTTTGGACAATCATTTAAAAATAAGCAACAAAATTCACAATGAAAGAGTAAAAAAAATAGGGACGTCTCACAACGATTAATAGACGTAATTTGTTTCCTGGGAGAGCATGAAATAAGTTTTAGGGGTTACAATGAAGCAAGTGGATCCGCCAATCGAGGAAATTACATGGACCTTCTAAGTTTTTTAGCAAAATTCGATGATACCCTAAAAATCATTTTATTGATTCGACGACTTTCCGAGGTACCTCAAATAGAATCCAAAATGATTTAATTAAATGCACTGCCGACGTTGTGATGGATCACATTAAAAGTGAAATTAAAAAAGCACCTTTCGTATCAATTGCGCTTGATGAAACCACAGATGTAGCAAACTTGTTGCCCAGAGCTACGATGGTGCTACCGTAATGGCTGGCCATTTAGGAGGCCTTCAAGCTAAAGTGAAAGAGAAGTTTAAACATGCAATTTTCGTTCACTGTATAGCAGATAGACTTAATTTGGTTTTATCGCGAAGCACGGATAATATTAAAGATTGCAAAGTTTTCTTTTCGACGCTTAGTGGTTTGGCTTCCTTCTTTTTAAAGTCATCGAAAAGAACTCGCCTTTGGATGTTCACTTTCAAAGAAGGTTTCCAGAAGTTGCTCCGACGCGATGGAATTAAAATGGACGTTTAGTGCAAACAGTGTTTCAATACCGTCATTCTTTGATAAACTTTTTTCAAGACGTTTGGGATAATAAAGAAACATGGGATGCTAAAACTGTTACTTCTACTAAAGGGTATTTGCATTGGCTCAAACAAAACTTTGATTTCAAATTTTTGCTCAACATTTTTGCAAAGATTTTCCCTTTTACTGACATTTTATTCGACATTTTACAGACAAAGTCAAATGTGTGATTGGCTTCTGCATTAAACAAATTGATGATTTTAAAAATAAAATGAATAAGAAACGAGATAAGTTTAAACACTTTTGGAATAAGACTCAAAACATTGGCTTAGAACATGAAAGAAAGATAATTAGAATTGATAATGTCGGCGACACAGAGACCTCCTATCGTCGGTTATACGCCGAAATTTTTGATAATATTCTACAACAAATGAACTCTCGATTTCAAAACTTTAACGAATTAAAATTTGTTGAATTGTGCAATTTTAATATTAGTAACTACGATTCATCAAAATTTCCATCGGAAGCTTTGAATTTACTAAAATTAATTATGGAAATTTTTTCGACATTCCAGCATTAAAGTCCCAGTTAAGTGTTATTTATGAAACAACTGAAATTAGTGAAAAATGCTGGAGAAAATAAAAAAAATCTTCAGTTAAATGTTTTTTTTTTACGTTTAAATAAACCAAGGAAGCTTTTCAATGGTAAGTTTTTTTTATAGCTTCTAGTACTAAACTAGGTAATAAAGTATGTAACGGTTGGAACCGTTATTTCGACACAACCACTCTTAAATGTCATTTGTCGTTTTCTTCTTCCTTGATTCGTATTGTGAAAATTATTTTTGACTTGAATGTCAACGAATCAACTTGATTTGATTTTTTAAATTATCTTGGTTATCCGATGTACTAATTGATTTTTATCTATCGCAAAATCCGTCTGATTTTATAAGCATAGCTATATCTAGATGGTTTTTTATTCCTTTCAAGACGGTTTTGAATTCCTATCAAGAAGTTTTATGGTTTTTATACCTAAAAGTTTGTTTTGGTTTTGATACAATCTGAAGACCGTGGTTTTGTTCATCTCTAGAAGATCTAGACAGTTTTGAGTTTAAAAGAGAATACCAAATATCACGAGATCATTCACGTTGCAGAATTACGAATAAGGATCCCGAATCCCTTTGAAGAAGTTGCCTAAGGATATACCATTCGATAAACATTCCTTATATTACCTCCTTTTAACAAAAGATAAGTGCTATTCAATAAATCATCTTAAATTTGAATTTAGTAAAACTATGTGAATTAGAATTTACTACTACCTTATCTAAAGCATGGTTTAAATATAATTTGTTAGTGGTTAGTGATTTTCTATATTTTTATCACTAATTTAAAGTCAAGTATAGTAAGCTTAAATATAGTGGTGCCCAACTTCTTTTTTAAAGTTATTCGAGTTATTTAATAACCTAACCCATACCCAATCAATTGAGGTCAAACACATTATACAAGTGAATCGGTCATTTTGAAAAGGGGTCACATCCACTTTTTTAACATTTTCACTTTTTGGCGATTTTATATTCAGCATGCCTAGAGGCATCAATTCAAGATGAAAACGGGTCAACTTTCAAAATTCTTACCGCCTATTCACAACACACAAAAATCAGTTCATTTTGAAAACGGGTTATCTCTCCAGGAGATAACCCCTTCTCAAAATGAATCGTGCTTTGTCCCCCACCACCAACGTTTTATTAGGTATTATGGATATTTCAGACGTGTTTAGAGACTGTTTACGTGTCGCGTGACAAAATGCCATCTAGTAGTGAAAGTAGTGAGGCACTCTCTCCGCTTCCCAAACGGAAGAAAGGTGTTAAAAATTCAAACAGTTATAAGCAAATTTCGATTAAAAAACGCAAAAGTTACTGGAAAAGAACACTTTATTCATGTGAACGAACTATGTAGGAGAATATGAAGACGTAAAAGTTTCTTCATCTATAAGCAATAAATTCGACGTTAAACATGTTACTCACGTAGATGTAGCTAGTTTCAAACAATGGTGGCCGGATTTATTTAAGAAGAAAGTGTTGTCTACACGAAGTCTTGGCAAACAAGTTTCAAAAGAAGACAAGGTTAATTTTACTATCAACTCCTTCTACGAGTTCAGCTTCAACTCAGAAAATTTGGGTGTCATCTTTGCGAAACCATACATTGGCAGCTTTGTTGAGGAACGTTTCCTTCTTTTAAAAACTCTACAAAGAAGCATTCCAAACAATAATGGTGCCCGATCCTCAGAATTTTACTGCCTATCAAGGGAAAATTCCGATAAATGTTAAGAAAATTGAGGATATAAAGAAGCTTCAGCAATATATTCCAGATAAATACAAGGAATTTTACACCACTATCTGCGAATGGCCTACTACCTCCGCTAAAGAAACGGAGGAAAATGAAAGAAGATCTTATTTTTTGTATTAAAATGTATTTTATACCACTTTGTTGTTTAAAATAAACAATATTTATATTCTATTTTGATTTTAAATACTTGTTCATTTTGAAAACGGGCCATCTCTTTTTCAAAAAATGTCAATTTTTAGCCTCTTTTAAAATACAAATAATATTTTTTAATAATTCATGGTCATGAAAGTTCATGTTTAAAGCAAACAATACCTTATAAAAATTTATTTTTAAATAGTATTAAAGATTAAAGGTTTTTTTATCTGTCCTGTAAAATTTTAAAAAGTGGATGTGACCCCTTTTCAAAATGACCGATTCAAGTAGATAGAATAACTAGAGATCACGTTACAAGTAATAGTAACACTTTAAAAATCTCAATCTCGAATATCCTTGGTACTGAGGAAAAAAAAGCAATATTTTGATAAAATGGTGAATGCGTCGCGAAAAATTCGCGCCTGCGGCGCTGTACTTACTGGCCTGCTGTATTTTTATACAATCGCTTCCCCTTCCAAAAATGTCACGGCACGCCACTGCAGTAGCGGGCGTATCGTTTATCTTCAGATCCCAATACAATCCTTGTAACAAGACTCTCAAATACTCTCCTATAATAATTTAGCAACTACGTGAACAACACCGTGAACGCTTGCAATTGAGTTTATGTAAACAAAATTGGTCTAGTAGGTGTTCGTCGTAGTCCTTGACTAAAATGGATATTATTATCTCCAAATTTTCGTTGGGCCGCCATGTACAAAAAATATATTTATCCCAGATGATCTGAAGTACCTAAACTTCAATATTAATTTCATTATTAGCTACTAAAATAAAACAAAACAAATAAATTATAACATTTTTAGATGGACATCCTATATACAAATAACGGTAAACAGCGAAATTGACAACTTCTATAGGTATAGTATGCCCTTGTCGCCGAAGCAAAGTTAAGGACATTTACAGGATAAATAAAAATTATGCAAAATGTGTCAGCGACTGCGGTATTAACTTGACCAAAAAAAATTGTATTGACCTTAAAAAAAGAGGGGAGTATTAATAATACTCGATCAGAATATAGATATATAATTGACTAAGGTTGAGTTCAATTAGTTCACTTGTTTTAAGTAACTTACCGGTACCTGCTTAGATTTAAAATGTTAATTATTTTTTATTTGTTAATTGTTTTGTGTCATCAAGTGTTATTAAATCCCGTGCAAAAAAATGAGGAAGAGGGTAAGCCAAAGGACGAAATTAAATTTTTTGTAACGTAATTTTAACACTTAAATGAAGTATAGAAGTATTGGTTAGATCAGAATAAATATTATTACGGTTTAATAAGCTATAAGTGTGGCTGAAAAATTCAAAAATACGTCATATTTAAATACTTTTTTAAGGACGTTTGTAAGAATGGAACATTATTTTTTAAAACTATTTAAGTATGTATATTTGGTTTAGGAAAATTAAATACGAATCAGTTGCCAAATAAAACCCCAAATTATAAAAAAGTAATTTTCTTACCATTTTAATATTAAAAAAAATTACAAATTATTCTAAATTCTAAAAACTTTACAGACATATTCATAAAATTCAACATAATAAATATTAAGATGAATTTTATTAATGAAAAAATGTAAATATATATTTTTACACAGGGTGATTCATAATTATTATTGGGATATTGAGTAAGCTCAAGTTATTTGGACCAAAATATGAGGATTCTAACATGCTTCAATAAAGTATAACTGTGGAAAAATTGAAAAGTTGAGATATTCCTTTTTTGTTAATAATTTACCAAAATATTCACAAATCGTTATTAAAATTGGCACACACTTTAGACAAGAAATAATATTTAACTCATAATTTCTGTATACAAGTATTGGTTAGATCATAATAAATAGTATAATGATTTAATAAGGCATATGTATAGCAGAAAAATTCAAAAATACATCATATTTATATATTTTTTTAAGGACGTTTGGAAGAATGGGCCATTATTGTGGGGAAACTTATACCCAAGTAGATTTTTTTAAAACTAATAATTGTATATTTGGTTTAGGAAAATTAAATACGAATCAGTTGCCAAATAAAACCCCAAATTATAAAAAAGTAATTTTCTTACCATTTTAATATTAAAAAAAATTACAAATTATTCTAAATTCTAAAAACTTTACAGACATATTCATAAAATTCAACATAATAAATATTAAGATGAATTTTATTAATGAAAAAATGTAAATATATATTTTTACACAGGGTGATTCATAATTATTATTGGGATATTGAGTAAGCTCAAGTTATTTGGACCAAAATATGAGGATTCTAACATGCTTCAATAAAGTATAACTGTGGAAAAATTGAAAAGTTGAAATATTCCTTTTTTGTTAATAATTTACCAAAATATTCACAAATCGTTATTAAAATTGGCACACACTTTAGACAAGAAATAATATTTAACTCATAATTTCTGTATACAAGTATTGGTTAGATCATAATAAATAGTATAATGATTTAATAAGGCATATGTATAGCAGAAAAATTCAAAAATACATCATATTTATATATTTTTTTAAGGACGTTTGGAAGAATGGGCCATTATTGTGGGGAAACTTATACCCAAGTAGATTTTTTTAAAACTAATAATTGTATATTTGGTTTAGGAAAATTGAATGCAAATCAGTTACCAAATAAAACCCCAAATTATAAAAAAATCATTCTTCTTACCATTTTCGTTTAAAAAAAAATTGCAAATTATTTTAAATTCAAAAAATATGTCTATAAACTTTACAGAAATATTCATAAAATTCAATATAATAAATATTAAGATGCATTTTATTAATGTAAATATATATTTATCCCCAGGGTGATTTGTAATTATTATTGCATTGGAGAGTGTACAGAAAAACGTAAATTTTAAAGAAAAAATGATAAAATGGCCCCTTGGGTGGGTATTAAAAGCAATCAATGAAAAACATAACATTTATAGAGAAGTTCAACAACCCCATAATGAAGAATTGTATAAAAACTTTAAACAATAGAAAATAAAACTCATGCTATGATAAAAAAATCCAAATTTAATTTCTACAGTAAAAAAATGGATGGTAATAAAAATAGTTCGAAAAATCTTTGTGAAGTCATTAAAGAAATAAGTAAAACAAAATTAAATAAACATACTATAAAACAACTTAAGAAAACAAGTTTAGGCGAAATATTAACTAAAACTATTCATATAGCTAATGAATATTTTCGTCGAGACTCGAAAAAATTGGCAAATTATATAAAACAAGATCCAAACTTTAGCCCTAAAGGACATACTTTGTCAAATTCATTTGTTTTCGAGCCCATCGATATATCTGAAATAAAACTTGCTATTAGTGAACTGAAAAATAAAAAAGTGGTCGATATAGATAATTTGAAGGCTGAAGTGATTAAAAAAGTGACACCTTATATAATTCAACCACTGAAATACATATTAAACAAAAGTATTGTCGATGGTGTTTATCCAAACGCTTTTAAATATTCGCTTGTTACTCCGTTATATAAAAAAGTAGATGTTGCTCTTATTGTCGACCGATATCATTAATAATAAATTTATCCAAAATTTTTGAAAAAATTAAAAAACGATTAGATGTCTATTTAAATAAATACAAAATCCTATCCAATAATCAGTATGGTTCCAGAAAACAAAGATCAACTGAAGATGCTATATTAACACTAACATCTAAAATTACAGAATCTTTAAATTTTACTCGCCCAAGTCTGTGTTTATTTATAGATTTGTCAAAGGCATTTGACAGCGTAAGCCATCAACTTCTTTTACAATCCTTGCACGACATCGGAATTAGATAAAATACCCTAAATTTATTCGAAAGTTATTTAGGCAACCGATTCCAGATTGTAAAAATAGGTGCTCAATGTGCCAAAACAAATAGAATTTGGTGTACCACAGGGGTTGGTACTAGGACCGACGCTCTTTGATATTTATATTAACGAGTTGTTTTCATTGGAAACCAAAGGTAATATTATAGGATTTGCGGATGAAACGACCATCTACTACGATGATGAAGACTGATATTCTTTAAAAAATAAAGTGGAGCAGGATATTACCCTTATTCTAAAGTGGTTACAATTAAAATTGCTAACAGTTAATTTAGAAAAAACTAATTACCTACTGTTAGGCTGCAGCTCCGCTAGTATTTTTCACTTTAATCAAATAAAAATTAATATTAACACCGAAATATTTACCATTTTACCTAAAACGCAAATTAAATATCTAGGAATTATTATTGATCCTCATCTAAGATGGGACATACATATTTCACATAATGTAAATAAAATGAGAACGATTTTATATAGATTTAGGTTTATAAAATCATTGTTATCTCTGAAAGACCTAAAAACATTATATTTCTCACTTGTTGAAAGCCCTCTTCGGTATGCGATTATAGCTTGGGGAGGAGCTTTAAAAACGCACATACATCCGCTTGAAGTAATTCAGCGAAGATTTTTAAAATTAATTTTTTTAAAAAAACGTTAGGTATCCAACACAATTGCTTCATGCTAAAACAAAATTTTTAAATTTAAGACAACTTTTTCGTGTTGCGTCTTGTAAACAACATACCGAAAAATGTAGTGCCCAACTTCCATCACATACAAATATATATAATACTCGACAAAGGCATCATTTTTTTGCACCTTTAATGTTGAAAAGAATTACACAATATACTTATCTAGCACCTAAACTTTACAACATGATTGTTCATGAAATTGTCCTTTTTCCAAATCTCTGTGACAGGGGTGGAGCTTGTTATGCTGGAAACGTACTGTTTCCAAGAATTTGCCTTAGCGGTGTTAATCGTGAGGTTAGCTTGAGCTTTTAGACGCTTAAAATGTATTTTATTTTCTATGGTTTTACAACGCTTGTATCTGTTTAGGGCTTTCTTACTCTCTGTAATGGCTACTTTACATTGATGGTTCCACCATGGTACTGGGGAATGCCTGGTAATATGTTTAGTTTTACCAATTGCTATTTCCGCACTGCTTATTAACATCTTTGTAAAATTTTGTAAGCCAATATTTGTATCATTATGAAGCTTACAATTTGATATATTACTTTCAATTTCGGAGGTAAATTTATCCCAGTCTGCTAAGTTTAATTTCCACTTTGGGCAAAACTTGTCAGTTCCTATTCAAAAAGAAATTAAGACAGTTTATTATAGAAAATCCCGATGGATGCATAAACCATTTCTTCGAAAAGTAAATGGAGAATGTATTAGATAATACATACCACATATCTTCTCATTATTTTAGCTATTTTTTATATTTTAAATCTGTTTAAGTAATTTTAGATTAGTATTTATTATGTTATTGTCTTAACCGACACAAGTGTTTTTTTACTTTTTTGAATTATTTTAATTTAGGATATATTTTAGTAATATTTTATGTATTAATATTAAAAAAAAAATACCTATTTTTATTTTATTCTCCCACTGTAACCAATTTGCACTTGAATAAAGATTATTTCTATTATTATTATTGAGTAAGCTCGTTATTTGGACCAAAATATGACTATTCCACCAAACATGCCTCAATAAAATATTGCTGTGGAAAAAATACAGGGTGTAGAAGTTGAAATATTCCTTTTTTGTTAATAATTTAACAAAATATTCACAAATCGTTATGAAAATTAGCACAGAAGTATAACTTTAGACAAGAAATATTATTTAATTGATTAAGATGTATTAACAAGAGCCATTCCTGATTTTGAAATTGGGTCACACCTTTTTTTAGTAATTTTGATTATAAAATATGTTATAGACATCATTTTAATGTAAAATCGTTATATTTGTTTGAAAATAATTTTAACAGTTTTCGGGAAAAGTGCTTCCAAATGAAAAATTGTGAAAAAACTTGTAACTCCGAATACTAAACAAAAATAACAAAAATCAAAGCAAATGTTCTACTTAGCAACATCCTACTTCTACGCCTTTTCTGAAGATTTGATTTGAAAATATTATTAGTACACAGAGACAAACCCTTGAATGCTTATTCTTGAGCCAAGAATGCCAAAACCCTTTTTAATTAAGTTTTAATCCCAAATGCTAAAATATTGTCTCTAAGGAATTATAAATGGAACACCAACATTATTCAAATAAGTATGTTAATCTTATTTCAATTACTTAAAATAAAAATCGTTCGAGTTTGATTTTAGTATTCATATACTTACTTCAAGATTT